TGGACAAACAACTTGGGATGAGTATAAGAGTATTGTTCAGTCATGCAGGGATGAAGTCAGGAAGGTCAAAGCGCAACTGGAGTTGCAGCTAGTAAGGGATGCGAAGGGTAACAAAAACGGTTTCTATAAGAATATCATCAACAAGAGGAAGGTCAGGGAAAGTGTGGGTCCGTTACTGAATGTGATGGGGAGGCAACCTAGTAACAGATGATATGAAAAAGGCTAATGAACTCAATGCCTTTTTTACCCGTCTTCACAGGCAAGGTCGGGTCCCAGACTATTGCAGCTGGTAGCACAGTTTGGGGAGGTGAGCAGTCAACAATAACAAAAAACAAACAAACAGGTTAGGGACTCTTTAGAAAAGCTGGATGTGTACAAGTCCATGGGGTTGGACGTGATGCACCTGAGGGTGCTGAGGGAGTTGACTGATATGATTGCAGACCTGCTGGCCATTATTTTTTAAAACTCCTGGTGATCAGGGGAGGTCCCAGACGATTGCAAAAGGGCAAACTGCAAAAAGACAGATGACACCAAGCTGGCAGGAGTAGTGGATAAGCTAATTACCTGAAGGGTGATTTCAAAGAGGATGGAGCTAGACTGTTCTCAGTGGTGGCAGATGACAGAATAAGGAGTAACAGTGTCAGGTTGCAGCGAGGTAAGTTTAAGTTAGATATTAGGAAAAACCCTCTCATTAAAAGGGTAGTAAAGCACCAGAACAGTCTAACCAGAGAGGCTGTGGAATCTCCATCCTCAGAGGTATTTAAGACCTGGGTATACAAAGCCCTGCCCAGGATTATATAGTTGGAGAGGATCTTCCTTTGAGCAGCGGGTTGGACTAGATGATTTTCTGAGGTCCCTTCCAACCCTAATTTTCTGTGAATCTAAGGTGACAGGTACAAGATATTATCTTCATGCAAAGAGGTCACTTTTATTTTAGGTTGTTTGCAAATGATCTAGCAATTAATTGAGTCTGATGTTAAAGTTACCAGGCAGCCAATGTTAGAGACATTTAATTTAGCATCCAAGAGCTCATTATCTTAAGAGCATTCAGCTCCAAACTAAGAGTTCACAGAGAGATCACCACTGGGTGTCTAATCAATTCACAGGCAATGCATAGGGATACAAAGATATCAGTGACACAGGCACACAACTTGGCCTGCTATGTTATAGATTACAATGATTAAGGGGATAGTGACACACATTTGAGTTCAACCTAATGCAACAGTAATAAGAAATTACCCTATTAGCACATGATCTGAGGGCTTCCACTTCTTATTGCCACTGAACCCAAATGGAAACAGAAGCCTGGGGCTGTGACAGCAGGAAGGAGAGCTACATTGTGTGCTACATTTTGCAAGTGCTGTAGAAAAGGGAGTACTCACTTTCATTAGAGAGTAAGAAAAGGCCCCCGAAGAAAAATAACCCCAACTTGTGACAAACTGCAAGTTACCATTTCACTGACACAGCTTGATTTAGCAGTTCAGGATATTGGTTCTGGAGTCTTTCACCCATGTCACTCACCTAACCCTCTCCAGCATCAGAAGAGGAAAGTCATTCCAGACTGCTGGCAGTCTGAAATGGATCAGTGGTCTTACTCCAAGTCCTGTTGAACAAGTGCCAATGCTGCAGAAGCCATCAGCCCAACATGGTTAAGCATTGCAGGGAAGCCAAGAACTGAATGGGCCAAAATGCTCAGTCTCTGCACTCCCATCCCTCAGGCTGAGGGGGAAGTGCCTTTCCAAAACTTGGCAGTGGCACATTGTTAGGACAGCGTGGGAAAGCTTGTACTGTGTTCTTATGAACCAGGAGTCTCTGGTGACATCCTCAGTCTGCCAGGTGTTGTACAGACACAAGGGAACCACCCAGAACACTGTAGGTGGAAGGGGAAAAGCAAACTAATACGCTGGTTTCTCTGTGGCAACTGGCTGTACCTCATTATTTGAATGCAATCTAAAGAGGACCCGCCTCCACCATGCTATGTACAGTACAAACATAAGACATTGTTGCTACCTCCAGGAACTTGCAATTCTAAGAAAGAGATGAGATGCAACAGGAAAACACAAGCAGACATCAGGAGTAGAATATTCCAATGCAACCCTTGCAAGAGTGTCACAGGTATGGCTCAAGGGTTGGATCAGGCCTGTGGAGCCATATGATCTGGCCTGTGGGACTCAGACCAACCCTGCATACTACATGCAGTGCACACCAAGCCTGGCATCACAGGTGCTACACACAGCACAAGGGGCCAGTTCATGGCACACACTGGGCATGCAGCACCCCACTGGGCCAATCCTGCATGCTGGCTTCAGGCCACTCTGGATTGGGTCTCCAGACTGATCCCCCCCCACACCAAAACTAGCATGCTGGGCTGGTCCAGCATGGGCACCTCATGCTCCATGCCAGGTTCATGCACGTGCACCCTGTGCATATAACACAGGACTGGTCTGGGGCATTCATTGCATGAGGTACCCCAGTTGACCTGGCCTTGTGCGCTGGCTCCAGTGTGTTGACCAGTCTGTGGCCCATGGGGCCAGATAAGTTTGCCCCCCCTGCATTTACAACAAGGTATGAAGACTTTGCAATGCTTTGGTGTTGTCCCAGCAAGGCTGCCCATTCCCAGAACGTTAGCTTCTAGCGCTGTTGATGTTACGCAGATGCCCATTGCTCTGGTCAGCTAAGCAGTGCTATGAGTAATCCCACAATCATCAGATTATTTGAAGGGTAAGGTGCTCAAAGGGAGAGTGTGTCAGACCCCAGTCTTCAATAAAACACAAAGTTCTTACTAAAAAGAGGGAGGTCTTGATGTGGGAACAAGGGAAACTCTCAGACAATTCCGAGGTTTCCATGTAACTGAATTCCTTTCCTTATAGACAGGGAATAGAAAGGCCCTGCTTTCAAAGGCGATTACTCACTGTGGCCAACCTGAGGACAGAGACAGCTTGGTCCTTAACATTCTGGATCAGCTGTCTCGATTTATCTGCAAAAAGATCGCACACATGCACACACACAAGTACATGCCCTGGATCAGATGCTGCCAGGTGTCCCCTTGATTCAAAGAAACTAAAATCAGCGTTGGTTGACACATTTGTTCCAACCAACCAATTCTTGGCCCTACCAAAGTTGAATTTGTCAAAAGTTCTACTGACATTTAGCTCTTCACGTAAACTATTTGACAAAAAAAACGAAACAAGTCTTGGTAAAACAAACAAAAATACTATCCTCAAGTATTGCTGGTGACACATCATCATAAAGCCACATTCGTATCAAGATACTGGACACTTACCCAAGCTAAACCCCTCCCCTTGTCCTGGAATTTCTTATGACAGTGACTATTACAAATGAGTTGGAAGTGAGAACAAAGGAGCTAGTGCCTTAGCAATAGAAATGAACCAGAGGCAAGGGTTTTTGGGTTTGTTTTTTGTTTGCAATATCTTTTATTGGCCCAACTCTATGGTTGGGTGAGAGGTTTGACAAGATTTTGGCACAAAGCGCCCATCTTCAGGTCTGGGAAAGAAGCAGACACAAGCTAAGCTGAGCACCAGGAACCGCCCCCCCCCCAACGGCTCATGTTTAACTCCAAGTGAATGAAAACAGTTACTAAAGGAATGGAGGACAGCCATAAAGCACAACAACACTCCAACCCTGCTGCAAGTTAAATGACTCATGGAGCTTACAAAGAAATCTGATCTTAAACAAATTTGAGGAGGAAACCAGGGAGAAAAACAAAACAAAACATTAAATTGACAATATCAAAACAATTTCAATGTCCATTTATACTAGATAAGTGACCTATTAAAAAAAGTGGCAGACACTTTTCCCACCAAGCCACCTACTGACTGCCACAGAACGCAGCTCCTGGTTTTACTGAGGCCAGTCCCTCGTCTCTCTGATGCAGAATCTAGAGCAGTCACATCGTTCCAGCCCAAGCTATACTAAGAACACCTTTCTGATAGGAGGCATCAGCTCCCAGACACCACAACTGATGCTCTAAACACCATTTAAGCCACTTTCATTCCTGACGCTGTAAGACCAGCTGCTGGTTTAATTTAATGTGCCCTGAGGATCTGGTGCCTGTGGGGCTGTAGTGACTGGATTGTCATGTGCATACAGAAGCACAGGGCTGACCTCCAAGGGATCATGTCTTTCCATTTTACATACAAGAGCTACCTAGAAAGTGCTCTCAGGGAAGCCAGAATAAAAAGACTCCTTTAAGTCATCCTTAAAAACATTTCAGCCTTGACCGGAAGTCCTGGCAAGAAGATCTCGCTCACGACCGTTCCACCTGATGAAGCCTCATCATCCATTCCGGAGCGGAAAAGAACGGCCGAGGCAGAGCAGGCGTGCAAACAGCACAAATCTCGCAAGGGCAGCATGCCCCCTGTTGATCAGGCAACCCAAAGCGGCATTTCTTGTTGAGTGCGCCATATAGCCAGCGCAAAGCATATACTGGCCCAATTGGCCATTCCCGCGTTCACAGAAACCAAACCAAGTGACACGACCACGGTCATCTTCAAATGCGAAGGACGAACAACAACAACAAGGTAAGAGCTGGGGACTGAAACGCATATGGGAACGGGGACGAGACCCAGGGAACCAAGCCGTCCCTTGCAGCTGAGTGAAAACCCGCAAAGCAAGCGCCGACATCCCTCCCTGGGCTCCTGCCGCCAGGCACACGACTCTGCTCCTTGCCCAGGTGCAAAGCTGGGAGGAAGACCCCCCCCCCATCCAGCAAGTTGGGAGCTTCACCTTCTTCTACCCCAACAGCCAGGCAAGGCAGCGCTCTGGCAAACGGCCCCCC